ACAGAGACAGAGACTTTGTGTGCTCACAGGCTATTTTAATTGGTAATAAACAGACAGGCACACACAAATGTGTGATTAACAAGTGAAGCAAAAAGAAGCCACACAAACCAGGCATTAAGTGAACATAAATAATACAAAAGCGTGGCACGCAACAGGCCTCACTCTGAGTCATTCAGTAGTGTTTATTCAGTGGAACAAAATAGTGTGTGATGCGCTTGTTCACAAATAAATGCGGTGTCTTTACACTCAGGGCGTATCTCCAGCCTGAGCCATTTCATGTGGACTGCGCCTCCATTCATGAGCCACATGGAACAAAAGCTGAGGAGGAGGAAAATACAGACATGGAAACATCTACTCATAAACTCAATTTCACGCCCCTTTTGTCACTCGCCGCGCTGCCAGGCGTTTTGTGCTCCCCTGAGAAAGAGCCGAGGGCTTTTAGGGGGCTATGTGCGCTAGCTGTTATTGCCTGTCCCATTCTTTTGCTGGAGATGGCTGAAAAGTTTTGCTTCATCTCAGTGTCACACATTTGGAAGCCCGTGGTTTCACATTCTAGTTTTAGCCACGTGGCTTCTTCTCCTCCAGTGTAGGAGTGGTGCCAGGGTGAGAAATCACCTCTGAAATATTGGCGCCAAACTTTTGTCAGGCCACCTTGAAGAAAATGGATCAGTGGAGCTGTGGTCAGAGCAGCAAAACTACACAAAAGTCAGGTGTTATGACTGAGGATAGAAGACTTTATTGTGCTAATGTGCCAGAACAGCCTTGCCTGCTTCCCACTCTCCAGATGTCATCACTTAAAGCAAAAATTCAAACTTGAGAGCAGGCAGAAAGCTCACCTGTGACAGCAGAGCTAATGTGTTAATGGCACTCCTACTTTACTTTGTTTCTGGATTCAGCTCGAAGCAGCCCACAAATAGCAGATCGATAAATAATTAATAATAGAAATAATAGCTTTACACCTGCAGCTGTTTAGCATCACTGACTCACAGACAAACACTGAGGCTGTCATGGCAACTGAGGTATGTAATATTATGTTAAGTGGACCGATGCTGAGGCTTTCAGCCTCGTTTGTGGCTGTCAACCTGTTTAATTGCATGCTGGAAAGGAATCTTGTGACCCCAGCTGGGCCTTGAGCACAGACAGCCAAGCACAACGGGCTCCGTTATGAAATTAGAGGCTTTTAAAGGAGTTAATTGACTCGAGTATATGGGGAGGCGATACAGCCAAGCACGAGGGGGCAGACAAATGTGCAAACACTAATCTAGAGAACTGAATTATAGGACGTTTTAATTCCACGATAAGCCGAGCCGAGACTAAAACACCTCCGGTCTTCAACAGAGATCGATGAAAGCACTATTTAACAGTTTGCTTGCGATGAACTCGAGGCAGTAACCCACCTCTCTGCCCATTTTCAGCTTTCTTTTCCTCCACTGCGCCTTTTTATTTTATATTTTTTTGAGAACACACACAGGCACCCATCAGCTCACCTCTCTTTTTGATTGGTCGCCATAACAACATCACCATGGCAATCAGCGGCATTGACTTGGATTCTATTTATGCGATGATGTCAGCTGATGTGGAAATATCAGTGTGTGCTCTTTGCTGACAGATGCGGGATGATGCAGGAATGTAGGCCGTCACACACACTCACGCCCAGACGTTGTTTTCACGTCGTGCACATTTGTAGCTGTGAACCCACACAGTAAGGTGCGAAAAAAAATCTGCAACAGGTGCAAGTTATGTATTTAATGCGTTTTTAAGCATGCCCACATGATGCTGCTATTCAGTGAAAAGCAGGTAAGTGGGTGACATGCATTCAAACCACTTTACCTCTTCTCATTTGGTCATTCAGGTTCAGTCTTGCTGAATGGCACTTGTACATGTGGAGGCACTAAAGGGCTAAACCTCTGATTAGTGCATGACCTTGTCTGCCACCTGCACAACAGCAAACTAGCATGCATTTCTGAATTTGGATCCCCCCCCCAAAGATAACTAAAAGTCTAACTTAATGAGTCTAAATATCCTGCTGAATAAACATTAAAAATAAAAACTGCTGTCACTCTACTGCAAGCATTGCTGCTTTGCTTGATTCAAAAGCTGACAATTTATTTTTCAAGTCATGTGCATGCGTGTGTGTGTTTGGAGTACTTTAGATGTGAGGAAGTGAAAAAAATTAATTTTTAAAAATGGCTACAGAGGAGAGCTGGGGGTTTTTGTTCTGTTTTGTTTTCTCTTTAGATGAAATGTAAATATGAGTGGGATTGTGTTATGATTGTAGGACTTATATCACTGCTGATCATGCATATAAACAAACAAATACAGGAAGCGGATATAAACAAGTGAAAATGAGCTCTGGACAGGCAGAAACCAAGTGAGAGACACAATTTGCGAAAGCGGGATTTGGAGAGCAGAAGAGAAACTGCAAGGCAACAGAAATGAGAGTTAAAGGTCATAAGAAAAACATAGTTTACAACCCAAACCGTACAGATTTGATGCTCCGACTTAAAACTCCAAGATTTCCCTGCGAAACAAAGTGCTGCAGGGATGGAGAGGGGGGCATCGTAAGCCGGAGATAAACAGATCCATGTTGGGGTCAGAGGTGCCATTGCACTTATCACTTTAGCATATATACGAGTCCTGATTTAAGACACACTTTTTACAACTTACACATGTCTAGTAGCATGCGAGTAATAGCCACCATATGTTTGTGCTAAATCCATTTCTTTCCAACCATGATGAGAGCCTTACTTTCAAGGTTGGGTCAGAAACACACTGACACACTAGGAAAAAATTGGAACAATCAGCAGACGGAAATGCTGCTTCACTGTTCAGCCCTCTTCATTCAGAATAAATAAAGGAACCTGTATTTTTTTTATTTATTTCTTTTTTAAAAGAGATTTAGTAAGTATAAACCTTCCTTATAGGCATGGGATGAAGCAAAATTTACAGGTTTGGTGACCAGGCTTTCAACCTGTGCAGCTTGCTCAGCCTGTGTGGATTATTACACCAGATGTCTTTCCTCAGCCTATAAAATATCCCCATTCACAAGGTATAATTAAACATTTACTGCCTGGTGCAGAGCCTTCCTATCATATTTTCATGAGAGAAGCTTAATAAAAGCATTTGTGGTCATTTCACTGTAGCAAAATCATCTCCGGCAGAGAAGTCTTGCTTGGGGACACAGCATGCACGCAGCACACATGCACGCTCATACCACAGCAAAGGCTCCTCATGCACATCTGTGAACCAGAGATAGAGCACTATCTGTCCAGAATGTCATTAACTACCACCGCTGTAGATTTATATTCACTCAGTTGTGCCATATGAGCTTGTACAATTACATCCATAGTCTGGAGATCTTCTGCGAGTGGACACGTTGACATAAAATTACCAAGTCTGGGGAAAATGTAAATTAATACCTCACATCATAGGCAGCAAAGGTTGCTAACTTAATATAATGAACGTAAATGTGATGCATAGTAAGAGATGAGACAGGAGTATGAGACATGTAGGCGTTACTAAATGAATGAGAGGGGGAACAAATGTATTTCACTATAGTACCCTCGGGCTGTGGTTTCAACTTGTAACATCGGCAGTGCCATCTACAGGTTGAGAGGAGACATAGCACCTTCAAAGACCATCTCAGGACTATCATTGGGCAAGATCTGAAAACCAATCATGCTGGTGTGACACCATCTCTCTGCCACTTGGGGAAAAACTACTACTTGACCTATACCTCAAACCTGGAGTTTTGTATATTATATTAATCTCGCCAAGCACTCCAGGTTCCTCCCGCAGTCTAAAGACATCCATGAGTTTAGGTTAACCGGGGGTCCTAAATTAACCATAGAACGTGAGTGTGAATTTTTTTTATCTATATCTCTGCATTACCCTGGGACAGGCTGACAGATTGTCCAAGGTGTACCCTGCCTCTTGCTTCGTGACAACTAATATAATCTAGAGCACCCTGAAATGATAAGAAAATCAATGGACATAATTCATACTGGTCTATTTCTGAAAATGCTGATCTACTGGATTTTCCTACACAACCATTTCTAGGATTCACAGAAAATGGAATTACAGCGAGAAAATATCCAGTGAGCAGCAGGTCTCTGGGTGCAAATGCCTTGTTGATGGCAGAGAAGAATGGCCAGACTGCTTCAAGCTGATAGGATGTAATAGTAACTCAAATAACCACTCATTACAACCAAGCAGAAATGCATAAAACATTGAAGCAGATGGGCTACAGCAGCAGAAGACCACACTTGGTGCCACTTCTGTCAACTAAGAACGGGAAAGTGAGCCTAAAACTCACACAGACAAAAATTAGACAACAGAAAATAGAAAAACCTTGCCTGATCTGACAAGTCTTGATTTCTGCTGCGTCAGTCAGATGGTAGGATCAAAATTTGCATGGCTCCATCCTGCAATGTTATGGTGCAAGGTTATTAAAGTTGACTTAAAATAGGCTAAAAACTGAAACATTTTGTGACCTTGGAAAACTAACTAACTAAAATAACACATATATAGAGAAAGGAAATGTTCTTACCTTTGGTATCTGTTAATTAAGCAAAAATGTATTATTAACCTGCCTGATGACACATGATAAATGTGTTTATTGAGACTTGTGAGATGTTTACAAGACTGTTAGTCATCTGCTTTCAAAGCATTGTGTTGTTATTGGAATACCAATATCTTGCCTCAGACAATAATAATTATAAAAGACTAAAACTAACATTGAAACTAATGAAAACTAAGCTAAAACTAAATCTTTTCCAACAATAAAATCTAAACTGAAACAAGAAAGTATACTCTGTAACCTAGCTGAAACTAAAATAAACAACAAAAAATTAAATAAAACTACTTAGAAAACACAAAACTTTAATAACTCTGGTGTGGGGGATATTCTCTTGGCACACTTTGAGACCCTTATCACCAACTGAGCATTGTTTAAACACCACAGCCTGCAGGAGTACTGTTCCTGACCATGCCCACCCCTTTATGACCACAGCTTACCCATCATCTGACGCCTTCCTCCAGCAGGATAATGCACCATGTCACAAAACTCTAATCATCTCACACCAGTTTATTGAACAAATCAACAGTGACTTTTGGTTTCAAGTAGGACAACCTGCTCCTTACATTGATTTTGATGCTCTTTTTATTACCTTACTTCTACTTCAGTGTTTGTCAGAAAGCAGTGAAGACAAACTTACCCCACTTCAGTCCCACCCCCCAAAAGTCATAAATCTGACAACACATGTGATTGGTCCTAAAATCGCATTAACTATGATGATGTAGGTATACCATCGGTCCTCATTTAACTCCACCAATACAATTTTTTAAAGATTAACTTATCTAACAGCATATGAATTGATTCAAACTGGACCAGTCTTATTCAGCTAGTGTGTAACACTATAACTTTATTTATTTCACCTCCTTTTATCTCCTTTTTCCACATAGCTCGAGTCTCATGGAGATGTTTCATGATTTTTTGTTGCAAGTACAAGCAAATAGAAGAAGCATAAATAACTTATTCCAAGACGTTCCCTCTGGATTCCTTTATAAAAGTAATAAAAAATTACAAAGTATTTCTAGAAACATAAAGGAAAAAATGTCATCTAATGCAGAAATTGCCCATCAGCCATCAAAAGAAATATGTATAAAATGTGAAAGTGAATTACCATTTGCAACACTTATTCAGTAAATTAGATACTGTACAGACGGTATACTGAAAGACGCCTGAACACTGAGAGCTCAGTGTCAAGCAGAAGCCTCGCTTGAATGACAGTCAAGCATGGTGATGCTTCAGTATGTACACAGCAGATCTTTCTGGGGGGGTGTCGCAGTCTGTTATTAGCTCCTGCAGCAGCCTTTGCGCTCCTCCTGTGCCTCACTGCTTGGCCCAAGGGGGCTGGAGAGGGTCACAGCACTGATGGAGCCACGGGTCACCTCTCTGCTTGCCACCTTCTTATGGATCGCTGGAGAAAACGGAGACAAAGATTGGCAATCAACACGGACACAAGTCAAAGTGAGGGTGTGAATGCTCTTTCTGGGCACCTTTACCTGTGAGAACTTCACTGAAAGCTGCTTCAACATTGGTGGAGCCCAACGCTGATGTCTCCATGAACATCAGACCCTTCTTTTCTGAATCACACCGGGGTTTGAAAAACAAAAAAACATTAATACAGAGCAAAATGTATTTAGCAGTGAAAACACCATTTATGAGAATTTTTGCAAGACATAGAAATAAAATCAGTCTCATATATTAGAAATATTCCAAAACAACATTAAAGAAATAACTATACAATACTACTTAACTTACCTGCAAAGTCTCTGGCCTCATCTGTGGGTACGGTCCTGAGAGTGTCCAGATCGCTTTTGTTTCCCACCAGCATGACCACAATATGAGGGTCTGCGTGGTCGTACAGCTCCTTCAGCCATCTCTCTGCGCTCTCATAGGTCAAGTGCTTGCTAATGTCATAGACCAGCAGCGCTCCAACTGCTCCCCTGTAATACCTGAGGAGGAACACACATGGGCTGGGTGTTACATTCATACAGGAAACAATTCCTTTAAGTAGGTGTTGTGCATGAAAGAGGTGTGACCGTTAATTAAACACAGTGCAATCAGTGTTACTTAAACTGGCAAACATGTGTGAGCCAACACTGATAATCTCATAATTCCCACCTCAATTGTGTCTGTTACTCATTTGTAAATGGTGTGTGTGCTTATGTGTGTGTACCCACGCTGAGGTGATAGCTCTGTAGCGCTCCAGGCCAGCCGTGTCCCAGATTTGAGCTTTGATGGTGAGGTTATCAATCTGCACGGTCCGTGTGCTGAACTCGACACCGATGGTGGTACGGCTGTCATGGGCGAATTCATTCTTGGTGAAGCGAGACAGAAGGTTGCTCTTTCCTACGCCAGACTCTCCGATCAAAACCACTAAACAAACACACACAACAGGTATTGAAATGGCTCTTAATCCTTTATTTGATTAAAAAACTAGATACCAACAACATTGAGTATTAGAACAAATCAAGGAAAAACCTATCTCATGGTAACTTGCTGAAACATATTCTTTTATATCCAGACTTTCTGTCACCCTCAAAAGATACTAGACACTATGACACCACACAGACGTGGCACATCTCCCCTGGGGCTGATTTCACTTTGGAATGAATGGAAGTTTATTTTAATAAGGAACATGCACATGCACATGAGGCTCTTTGTAAGATTATAACGTGTAGATTATATGTTTCTATAATAGGTCAAAGGTTAAATGGTTTACAGCCGAATGGATACAGAGCGATCACTTCCTACTTTCCCTGCTCTATTCACTTCCTTGGAAATAGCAGCAGGCAGCTACAGCCGGAGTTGTACCTGCCAGCTTCATTGTCTACAAATACGCAATAATACACAGAGAAAAAGACATTCATGTCTTCCTACACAATCACAGCTTAAGCAAACATGACTCACCTTTAAAGACAAAATTGTACGAATCATCAGACCCCATGCTGCACTCAGAGGCGAACGGTTCCTGCTTTGCTAAGTAAATATCCTGAAGGCACTTTAAATATTAGCTCCCAAAGTAGAGTTTAAAAAAGAAAGAAAAACAGAAAGAAAGAAAAAAAATCCAGCCTCAGTCCTGAGTCTCTCTCTCCGATGTGGAGAGAGAGCAAAGGTGAAGAAAAGAATGGAAAGAAAAAAGGGAACTGGTTGAGCCGCTTGCTTCTTTATCTACGTATAGTGGGTAGCTTCAGATTGAGGGCAGGCAGTCCTGAGCTCTCATCAGCTGACACCCAAAGGAGGGCTGGAGGGAGGAGAGCAGGTGGAACAGGTAGAACCACTGGCAGGTAGTCATGAAGCGTCTCCACCCTCTGCTGCTCTATTCACGCACTGATTCTGATCATTTGTGGTGTGACCTCACTTAAAAGTTGGTTTCTGTGTGCAAACACACGTCATCATTCCCCACCTTTCTGATCATTAAACTTGGAGTTAAGAGTGCTTTATAGTGTACTAACTATTATGTAACACACTGCTTAAACAGAATTTAATAAGCATATAGCAATAAGTCAGTTAAACTTCTGGGATATTTAACTGATCAGTTAAGTAGCAGCGGGGATTGTTATTCAGTTTCAGCTGCTTTAGTGTTGATGAGATTAACAACAGATGCACTAGAGAGGCAACAGTGACAGTTGTCCCTCATCTAGTTTTGCATTTGACAGTGTAAATATCTCTGACCGAACGATCAGAAACAGACTTCATGAGGGTGACTGAGGGTTCTCTATGGACTGTGGAGCCCAGCTGGAATTTAGTGTAGAAAACCAGAATTGCCAAGTACACCACTCGTGAATTGTGCTTATCACAGATCAGAGCAGGTTCACCCTGACAGACCAGCTGGAGAAGCTGTGACAAACTTTGTTTCCTGTAACAATGTTTAGCACGACCAGTTTGGTGGTGGGTCAGTGAGGTTCTAGGGAGGCATATTCATGGAGGGACAAAGGCTGACTGCCATTAGGTATCAGGAGAAAGTCCTTGGACCTGCCATCTGACCCTACACTGATGCAGTGGGTCCTGGATTTCTCCTGGTGCACAATACTTGGCCTCATGTGGCGAGAGTACGCAGGAAATGGTAAATGGCCTGTATTTGTATAGCACTTTTTACTAGTCTCGCCTAGGGACCCCAAAGCGCTTTACACACCCAGTCATCCACCCATTCAAACACATTCACACACTGATGGAGGCAGCTACAGTTGTAGCCACAGCTGCCCTGGGGCAGACGAGGCTGCCATATCGCGCCATCGGCCCTTCTGGCCAACACCAGTAGGCGGTAGGTGAAGTGTCTTGCCCAAGGACACAACGACCGAGCCGGGGCTCGAACCGGCAACCTTCCAATTACAAGGCGAACTCCCAACTCTTGAGCCACGATCGCCTCTGGGATGTATGAACTGGTATCAGTGACCCCACCCACATTTTCTTGACCCAAATCCAATAAAACACCTCTTGGACATTATTATCATCATTATTATTATTATTATTTCAGTCCGTCTGACACCATCAGGTTGCACCTCATTCTCCAGATCATCGATGCCCAGATCTGGATCCGAGAGATCTCCCAGGAGACCATCCAGTCTCATTAGGAGCCTACCCTGACATTGCATTTGCAGTATGCATACCTGATAAACTGAAGCTTTGGTCAAATTGACTAGTCTGCCACATCTTTTTTTCACTTGTGTCTTTAAATTTAGCCACCTGTAGGCTAATAATTACTATTTCCTTTAAAATATCTGGCATCCTTTCATTCCTAACCAATTACCCAGTCTATATCAATGTAGATATCAAGCATTTCCTTTTTTTTTCTTCGTAGATCTGATGTGTTCAAAATGTTCCTTTATGTTTTTTTAAAGTATATTTTAATTATTGTGATTAGCAGAACACAGCTACAATCGATCCTATATGAATACAAACCAGCAAACAGTTCAGGCTCAAACAGTAATTCATAACTCAGCACTCTAAGAAGATAGCGTGTTATTGTTATAGTGACATGTTTGTCTTACAGACTATTTGTGACTGTATAAAATCGGAATTACCACGTTATTTTTGTAAGAAATACAATATTTGAATCAATAGAAAAGATAAAAATAATATACAGTAAGTTCATTTTTGACAAGACATTTCCTTACAAATAGTGAAAATATTGATTTTAACTGACTAAATTAATATCAGAGATGAAAACACTTCCTGGAACTTTTAAGCATCATTAATAGTAATCTGTGTACTTTTCAGCAAGCTTCCAAGGTATTTAAAATTAAAATATTTAAAATATCATCCAGTTAGTGGTACCAAACTAAAACCTTAAAGGATGGCCAACTGTGTTTAAAAACAAAAAAAATTAAAAATTAAAAAAAAACCCTCCAAAAGTAGATCTAATCTTACAGATTTCAACATTTCACATTTAACAAAAAAACAGAAACAAAGTTCAATGACTTCATACAAATTAACTTTCATAATCAACTGACACATGTGTGGGCTGTTTTTAAATCATGTTTTATTTTTTTAGTACAGTACTGTTAAAAGTTAGTTCCAACATGTTCAATTCGGAGATGGATTTTCATTTTTTTTTTTTTTTTCCAGCTGAGGTCAACAGACAAAGCAAAGCTATAGCAGCAGTTGCCAAGGTTACCACAACTACATTGCTGAGAATTTCAAAAGGAAAAAAATAAAAAAAAAATAAAATAAAACAACCTAGGCTTGATTTGAGAAATTTATGATGCCACTGTACCAGAGTTGTTTGTAAAGCCGTTCCATCGTTCATTTTTCGTTAATCATTTGATTTCCATTTTATTTTGATGAGACAAATCACCTCTAGGTACTAACTGCACCTCAAAAGAGAAATTAAAATGAAGAATAAGATTAAAACGAAAGCAAAACTTGTTTCATTCTTATTCATTCTAACTGCGCCCTCTGCTTCAGAGACGCTGCGATGTGATATCTGATTATGGCTAAAGTTCTGGATGGTGCGTGAAATTTTCTTAGTTGGGGCAGGGTCCTCAATAACCCACTGAGTGAGGCAATTCACTGATGATAGGGCAGTGGAAGACAGCAGGCACAGCAATGGTGCCTCAGAGGGGAAAAGCCACTGCACCTGTGAGTGGGCACTTTTATCTTGAATGACGTATTATGTCATGTTATTAAGAGCTTGCAATAAATAGTGAAAGCTGTTGGGGAATGACAGCCATTTAAGTAGAATCTTTAGAACAAGGAAAGGAGGAAATAAGGTGGATCATCTGCGTGGACAAGATACCTTCCTGCTAACACTCAGGTTTGCCACCTGTAATCAGAAAATCTTCATTTATCAATTTGCTAGTTAAATACCAGCAAACCTCACAGCAGCCATGTAGGAAAAAGAGCCAGATGCCAATCACATCACGTGGGTTCAATTTGTATCATGAAAATGTTAACCTGTAGCACTCTACTCCAGTTTTACATGAAGAAAACAATATATAGTGAAAATGGTAGGGAATCCCTTTCCAGGAGAGATTTTCACTCTTATTCTCTGCACCAGAATACCCTTTACGGTAAGAGTGGTTCAGTCCAACTCTACGGCAGCACTCTTGACAGAGATCTGGTTGGATGGTGGCAAAGAGTGAAAGTATGGGAAATGGGGCATGATCTGAGAACAGATGTAGAGTGAAGGTCTTATAGATCCTGCCCACGTTCGTTCCGTTAAGTTGGGGACAATACACTGAAATTTATTTTGGTTCTCTGTAGATGCTGGGTGTTTTTGTGAGTTAGGTATGTATGCGCATGTCTGTGTATCACTAGGTACTGTATGTCTTTACGAGGGCTGTGAGCCCAGAAGTCTCTCGATTGCAGCATTGATGTCTCCTCCAGTAGCTATGAGCGCCTGCAGGTTGGCCTCGCGGTTGATGAAGCCCATAGCATTAAGCTGGTCCAGCTGGGACTGGAACCGAACCTCTGGGGTCTGGGTCTACAACGACAAAATGAGATGCGAGACAAATTATACTAGTACCATACTGTGACCATGTCCACCCCCCCCCCCTTTTTCTGTAAAGCAGTCATTTCATCTGAGAGCACACATGTTCACAAATTGTACAGTATTGTGCAAAAGTCTTGAGCCACCATTTCTTTATATTTTGCTTAGCCACTTTTCTGTCCTTTTAAAAAGCGTCCTCAAGAAGGCTTTTTGAAGGCCTTTCAATGTTTTTCTTTGGCTGATTTTCCACTCATTTCAGTCCAGTCCTTTTACCTGACCATTTTCACAGGAATGTTATTTGACCACTTAACACAGGCAGATAAATCATCCACCCAAAGATAACAACCTAACTCAAGTGTTCCACCTAGTTATGTTTATGTATGTGACTAGAGAGCTAGAGACCAGTGAAACAAAGCAGCACTTGATGACAAAAAAGTTCAGGATATCCTCAACTCATCACACTATTGCTGTCATTTGCCAGAAGTACGCTTCAGCGACTCATCACCACGCTGTGGACACCTTTTACAAAGTTTATTCGTTATTCATTGCTAAGTGTTGACATTATTCAAATATTTTAAAGTGTAGTGTGTACCCCAGTGCTCACTGTACCTATGATTATACATTTGAATTAAGAGGGGTAAGAAAAATTGAATTCAGTTAACTGCAATTTGCAATCTACTGACATCTAGTGAGATTTTACAGACTTTACCTTTAAGACAAAGGAAAAACTCCAGCAAAGACCTGACACAGGACCAGCAAGGTACATCTGGTCCTTCAGTGGATCGCTCACTGAAGTCTCATCATATATGGTCTAAACGGAAGGCGGCTGTCAAGAAGCCATTTCATAAGGAGGACAAACAGTGAGAAAAGGCTGAGGTATGTCAAAATCCAGTGTGAGATGATCTTGACAGAGGATGGAACAAAAGGCAGCAAACATCCATAGAAGAGCTTTAAATGTCCTTCAAGAAGCCTAGAGATCTATTCCCGAAGACATGACAAAACAGCTGCCTAAGAGAGTTCAGACTATGTTGAAGAATAAAGATAGTGAACCCAAATGTTGACTTTAAACCCTGTTAAAACTGGAAAAAAAAAAACTCAGTTTTTATACTTTTCCATGTTTCAATAAAACACTGGAACTATGTCCTATTTTACCACCAAAATATAAAAAGAAATGTGGCTCAAGACACAGTACTGTAATTCCTATGCATGTGTACCGTTGCGCTTCCGCCTCCACCTCCTCCTCCAGCAAACATCTGGAGCATCT